GGGGCTTTCCAGGGGTAAATGTACATTCCAGTCCAATGTCCTGTCTTTTTTACCTCTACATATTTAGGTCTGAACAATGAAGACAAATATTCATAATGATGACCTTGACATAGTTTAAGATTCATCAAAGCAAGAGTGCATGGTGCTCATTAGACAGGATTTCCTAAAATAGGAACTACACAAATACATTTTTGAAGCTTAACTATAGGGTTTGAGAAAAAAAAAAAAAACGTTTCTGCTTGAGGACCAAAAAACCACATTAACCAGGTCCCATGTCCTCTAGTCCCCAGGCTCTTCAGTTAATTTAGGAGTAATGGACACTGGGCAAAAGATACAGAAGAAATAAGGATTCTAAAAGTCACCAGTGACCTTTGCAAAATCCGAATCAATGAAGTAATTCTTCTTGACTTTCTCTTTGGCTTCTGGCAACAGAGAACTATTGGGTCATCTTACTTTTCTGATCATTTTCTTCTCGTTGCAGAATCCTCTTCATCTTTCCATTTCTTACTCATCAACATTTCTTGTACTCAGTCTTTAGTTCTTTGATTCCTGTACTTCTCTCAGAGAGCACATCCAGTGTTATACCTCTCACTCCTAAATTTATGACTCAGTACTGAATGCTCTCTGAGCCTACAATCCCATATTGCTAACTACTTATTGGATTGCTTTTCATGGATATCTTACCATAAAAATCAAAACGATCTTATTTTCCTTAACACATAAAATGTTTTTCCAAATCCAAGAGAAAAGACAAACACCCCGTTTTTTTAAATGGGCAAAGAAATGACTAGGTAATTCACATACACAAATTCACATACACAGTTGAACAATGAAAACATGTTCACCCTCACTAATACAATGCAAATGAAACAACACAATGCTATTTTTCAGTGATTCAATTCACAATGGTTAAAAAGCCTATGAAACTTGGTGCTTGTGGGTAAACACTCACATATTAGAGGTAGACATAAATTTTGTACTATTCTCTATTCAATAATGTATCAACATGCACCAAAGTCTTTAAAATGTGTGAACCTTTTGATCTAGTAGGCTTCGATTCTAGGACATGATCAGAGATATATGCAAACCTGGAAGAACCAGTGTTATTATATTGAAAACTTGAGTATATACTAAGTGTCCAGCAATAGAAGATTGGTTAAGAAAATATGAAAAATTACTGCACTGGAATGCTATATGACCAATAAAAACAATTTTTTAGAAGCATGTTTAATTACTAAAAAAATCCATACTATATTAAGCAAGGTAATAAAAAGGGTATGAGTTCAGGTAATGAAAAGGAATATACAGCAGTATTCCTATTTTATTAAAAAAAAACAAAGGCATACAAAAGGCAAGCATAGTGGTGCACACCCATAATCCCAGCATTTTGGGAAGCTGAGGTAGGAGGATCACAAGTTCAGAGTCAGCCTCAGCAACTTAGGGAGACCTTAAACAACTTAGCAAGATCATGTGTCAAGATAAAAAACAGAAAGGGTTGGGGATGTGGCTCAGTGGTTAAGTGCCCCTGGGTTTAATCCCTGGTACTCCCCTCCCCCTCAAAAGGCATACAGATTGGAGGAAAATACATAATAAATATTAAATGATGATCTCTGGAGAGTGATTTTTATTTTCTTCTTTATGATTTCTGCAATGAACATTGATTACTATTATCAAACATACAACCTGTAAGTAGCTGAGCATAGTGGCACGTACCTGTGATCCCAGCGGCTCGGGAGGCTGAGGTAGGAGGATCACGAGTTCAAAGCCAGCCTTGGCATAATCAAGGTGCTAATAAGCAACTCAATGAGACCTTGTCTCTAAATAAAATACAAAATAGGGCTGGGGATGTGGCTCTGTGGTCAAGTACCCCTGAGCTCAATCCTTGGGCCCTAAACATCAGCAGCAACAACAACAACAATAACAACAACAACAACAACAAAAAAAAAACCTGTAAGTAGATTTTTTTTTTTTTTTTAGTAAAAGCTTTTTGAAAACAGAATGTTAGACATTCCCACTAACCAAGTTCTCTTTCCTGGCCTCTCTCTGTCCTTGCTGGTATCAATCAAGGTTTAGATCTTGAAGTCAGCTTTGTTTTCCCATTCCTTCTGCCCAGCCACTTATTGAGTCTCATCCCTCCTTTAGGGCATCTCTCAAATTTGTTCCTTTTTTGTGGATGTGGTGCTGGGGATGGAACCAGGGCCTCATACATGCTAAGCACACATTCTACCACTGACCTATACCCCCGGCCTCTTTCTTGAGTCCTAAGTTAAATCAGTTCACTTCAACCAGCATTTATTGTCACAGTACTTGGATGTCACTCTGTCAGTTCAACATTATTGGAGCCCTCTTCCAATGTGTATCCCTGCCCTAGTCTCCTGTTCCTCCAATTAGTCAAAGCACCCTGTAGCTGGAGTGATCTTTCATAAGCCCTACTTGTATCATGGCCCTCCCTGCTTAAACATACTCAAAATTCCCCAAGTCCCTTTGCCTAGGGAATACAGCTCATACTTTTTATTTTGCTATTCGGGACTCTTTATTTACAGCACTGTGCTGGGTGGGAGATAATGGTGGGCACATGGGAGGAGCTTGGCAAGTTTTTTTTTTTTAATACCTTTATTATTTATTTATTTATATGTGGTGCTGAGGATCGAACCCAGTGCTTCACACATGCTAGGCAAGCGCTCTACCACTGAGCCACAATCCCAGCCCCTTGGTAAGTTTTTGACAATAAAATATATCAAAGAATAAGGTGGGGAGCTTTCCCCACTGCTCTCCACTGTCTTTTGTTTGAGAATCCCTTTCCTCTTCTTTTGGCACTTGGATCCAGGGTTTTGGAGCACTTGACATTTCATGGTGCTGAATTTGGAGACAGGAAGAGGCAGCCAGAGACGATAAAATATGGCTCAGGAAACCTCAACTCTTGAGTCCATCCCAATTTCCAAGGCCTGCTATGTAGGAGGCTCCGTGGAGGAAGCATATTGCTTCTTAAACCCCTTCTTCCCTGCAGTGTTGAGGACTAAGAACTAAGCCTGGGGATCTTACATCTTACTGTTGGCTTTAATTAAAATGGAGAAGGGGAAACAGAAAGAGGTGAATGTAGAACAAAGCCCTGCGTGATGTGGGTCCTTCATGAAACTCAGCTGTCTTCAGGTGCCTTTCTGGGGCACAGAATACACCAACCTGACTGAATGATGGCATATGGTCGTCTGTCAAGAATGCTCCACTGGGAGTGTGTGGGGTGAGTTGTGTGAGGATAATGAACTCACCAGATGGCAGTAACCGGCACTAGCTCTTGAAGGATCTGATGACACCAGTGGAAGTGGGATCCCGAGCTGGGTGAAGGGCTGTCTGGGAGCCAGTTCTGATGACGACTGAGAGGCTCCTCCACCATCACAGCCCATTCCTTTCAGTGTGAAGCATGTGCTTATTATGGACCTAGTATGATAGCAGATCCAGCCAGTGTAAGAGCTTAGTGAAGACTGGAATGCTGGGGCAGGCCTCCTGGCACTAACCATGCCCTTTGGGATTGCTCTTGGCATCTTTCTGGTTACGGAAAGCCTGGTGCAGCCCCACCCAACACAAATGCTGACTCTTCCCATAGCCCATCATTCTTTGGAGCTTGCTGTCTCCAGCTTCCCTTCTCCTCCTTTCTCCCCCTTTCTTTCCCTCCTCTCCACTATGGCCATTGGCAGTTGGCACTCCATTCAGGCCCTTTCTGTCCTTCACTCAGGCTCTTTGGAAACCTGCCTTAGTTTGAGGCACTTCCTGTTTGGTAAAGCCATTAACTAACTGTAAGCAGCTTTGGGCCTTGCAGGCAAAGCAAAGGCCCTCTGCTTTCCAGGGCTGGGAGTGGCTTGGCTGACTCTTGTGGAGTGAAGGGAACCAGAGGGAACCTGGAGGCAGCTTCCTCTAGCTAGAGGGAGCCAGGGTGTTTTATGGCAGTATTGGTCAGCCCAGGATCCAAGGATGCCCTGGTCATTGCACTGTGAGGTTATCCTTGGATAACTGCTGTTGACTGAGCGGTTACCATGTGCCAGGGACCATACTAAGTGCTCGAAGAGCATTTTCCTATATAACCTGCACATCAGCTACTAGTTTCTGATTTTATTTTATTTTGGTGTACTGGGGAATGAACTCGGGGCACTTTACCACTGAGCCACATCCCCAGCCATATTGTGTATTTTATTTAGAGATAGGGTATTCCTGAGTTGCTCAGCACCTTGCTTTTCCTGAGGCTGGCTTTGAACTTGCGATCTTCCTGCCTTAGCCTCCTGAGCTGCTGGGATTACAGGCATGTGCCACTGTGCCTGGCTCTAGTTTCTGATTTTATCATGGGGAAACTTTGAGAAGTTAAATAACTTGTCAGAGGCCTCATAGCCAGAAGGTGGCCGACATAGGGCTCTAACTCAAACCTGCCTGATTTCAAAGTCTATGCCCCTTAACCTCTATGCTATGCTGCTTTTATAGGTTCTGGAGAGAGGATTAATTGCTATCTAAGGTTTTGGGGATATTTACTGACTACTTATGCATGTACTAAGCTCATTGCATGTATTAATTAGCATATCTGCATCTCCCAGTCACCTTTAAGATAGGACATATTGTCTCATATGACAGTTGTGGAAGGAAACCAAGTCTCATTGAGGTTACCCAGCTCATAAGCAATTAATTGCAGATTTAACCCAAGTCTGAGAACTTTGGGTGCCAGTGTTCTCTTCCCCTGACCCTGCCTTCCCACTCCTGAAAAGCCCCCTCTGTAGTTTGCTCTACAAAAGGGGTTGCGGAACTATGGTGATATTCAGTGTTAAGCCTAGAAGATGCCTGGGTTCTTGAATACATGACAGGTCATTTTGCTTTGAGGCAGGGAGTACCTGAAAGGACTGAAACTAGGGACCTGGATGGTTATTACTTCCTATCATGGAGAGCATTTGGATGGAGAACTGAGACCCAGATTAATTTTAAGCACATTTTGATTTTTCTCCCTCCTTCCCCTCCCAAATTAGGGTGAAGGTTGCCGAACCGTCCCCCTGGCTGGACATGTGGGGTTTGACAGCTTGCCTGACCAGCTGGTGAATAAGTCAGTCAGCCAGGGCTTCTGCTTCAACATCCTGTGCGTGGGTGAGTATTTCCATTGCAGGAAATTCTATTACAGAATATGGATCCTTAATGGCTGGATGTGGCTTTGCAGGTAATTAGGTTAAATAGTGTGTCATTCAGATCTAGTTGCAAGAGTGTTCCTCTCCCTCCATCCGACCTTCTTCTCTTATCCATCTGCTTATTTTTGTAAGCAGCCAACTGTAATTACTATGTTTTTCCTTGGCTGGACCAGAATATGGGGCCATACTTTGGGGGAAACAGAGCTGTGTGAGACCCAGTGGAAATTTTGTAAGGGGGCTGGCTGTCTCCGTTCCTGCTGTCAAGTTCATTTTGACTGCAGAAGACAAGAACCAGGACAGAATGGGGAGGGAGGTGATGGCTGAGGAAAGAAAGAGGCCACCTGCCTACCAGCTGCGGGCAGTGGGTTGAGTCTGTTGGTTCCTTCTGCAGCTTCTCTGTGCTCAGTACAATCTGAGCTCAAGTGCAGGCTCGCACAGCTGCGGGCAAGGTCTTCTGTTTCCCTTATCTGTATCTCTGTCTAGACCTTTAATCTCAACTGTGGGAGCTGCATCTTAGTGTCCCCTCCATATGCTAATCAAGGCACAAAGGGAATTCAGTAATGTTTGTGAAATGAATGGATGGATGGGTTAACTCTATAGCAGCCATTCATTATAGTTCTCAAATAGTTTCTCAGATTAGTTCTTTTGGACCTTACTCTGCAAAGTGAGCAAAGCAAGTAGTGTTTGTATTTTCATGGAACACATGGAGACCCAGAAACTTGGGGAGGATAAAGTGTTTATCTGAGACAACAGAGAAAATGTGGCTGAGCCATAATATGGATCCATCCCTTATCCCTCCCATTGCTCCTCTAACTGTTGCCAGCCACATCTCTTGAGAACACGAAAGCACTTTGGAAACCATTGAACACCAATCAAACAAACAAAAGGGACAATAGTTTCTTGATATTCTTAAAAAAATCCCAAATTTGCAAACACAATCGTAGACTATAATTTTCACCCCACAGTGCAGGAAAGTATACCTGCATATTTTCAGTGACCTCCTTAATGATTGTATAAACACCATAATAAAGTCAGTTTTCACACTGGCTGGAACACTCAAACAATTTCCTTAATTGCCTTTTCTTAGTTTTGTATGGAGTGTCTAGGGAACTCGTTCATGTTGTAGATCTGAACCAACACCAAACTGGATATTTTACTCTTTAATGTATTTAAAAATTTTTTTTTTCTCACTAAGTTCATTCTTTTTCCTTGGGCTCTTTATTTTTACTTCCAATCTGGGCCCAGCCATCTTTTTTTTTTTTTTTTGGTACTGGGGATTGAGCTCAGGGGCACTAGACCACTGAGCCACATCCCCAGCCCTATTTTTTTTTTTTTTTTTTGTATTTTATTTAGAGACAGGGGCTCACTGAGTTGCTTAGCACTTCACTTTTGCTGAGGCTGGCTTTGAACTTGTGTTCCTCCTGCCTCAGCCTCCCAAGCTGCTGGGATTACAGGTGTGCACCACTGTGCCCAGCCCCAGCACTCTTTTTTCAGGTCATTTTCTGTAAGAATCGCTGCATACTCAAGGACAAATAGAGAACAGCAAAGCCACTTCTGGATCTGAATGACAGGCAGTTAGCTAGGCTCACTCACTTGCTGAATGACTCATTACCACATATCAGCTTTGGAACCTATGAGATGAAAATATGTGCTTCATGGAATTACATATCAGGACTTAGGGTCCAGACCGAGGTTATTAACTCTTTAAATGCTGAAAGTCTAACTTATGGGTATGTTTAGGTGAGGTCAGGAGAGGGATACAAAATAAATAAAAGTCACAGTGATTGGCATCAAGAGCAAATGCTATCACATTCAATATTAGCACTGCCAAATCTTTATTTAACTAACAAGAGCTCCAATCTTTAGCAGATGATGGACAACTTACTTCACATAATATTGGATTATCAAAATATTTCAGCACAGATGTATCAGATTCCCTTGGCATTTCTCCCAGAGCTCCATATGACCTGGGCTGAGAGATGAGAAGTGAAATGACAGACCCATCATAAGCAACCTTTCAACTAAGCAGTTGGGTGGTCTAGTAAAGCCTTGGGAGGGAGGCCATGTGAATCAGAATGGTTCTTTGGTGGCAGAAGTGTAGGGAAATTTGACATGTGGATCACAGCTCCCCTGGGGCTCAGAGGAAGAGGCAGCCAAGCTCAAGACAAAGTGAGTGGGAGAAATAGTACCCCCCTCCCCCCTCTTCTGTTTCCTACCTAGACATTGTACAGCTACAACTGCTTCAGTATGTACCTGCTGGGATGGAATCGCTCAAGTGCTGGGATGGTCCCTTCAAGAGGGGTAGGGTAGGAAAGAGGACCCTATCATCTGTAAGGAGTCTCAGGATATGGCTGCCCCAGTATTTACTGTTAGACCTGCAGGTGCAACCATTGGATAGAACAGCTTGGACTGGGTTAATTTCATTCTTTATCCCTGACCCAAAAAAGCCTACGACTCATGCATCTTACTCTCTTGCTGTGCTTGTAACCCTGTCATTGCTCAGAGAACCCACAATTTGGACCAAGGTCATAAGTGGCTTAGAGTGGCTCTGAGGTTGCAGTCTCAGCCAGCTATAGTGCTGAGTCCTGCCACTGACTTGGCGAAGAGTCCATAGCTTGGCTGTTGAAGGTGATCTTTCCTCTTGCTTGGGGTGACTGTTGGGTTTACTTCCTTAACGACTGCTATAAAATGATTCATAGAATATGGTCCCCTAAACTATTTTCCTTTCTTTTCTGATAGAGCATTCTCACTATAAAATTATGGTAGTGCTACCTTTGATTATTAACTGAGATCTAGGATATTGTTCACATTATCATTTAATTTGGTGTTGAGCTCTGATTGTAGCCCTATATCCAGCAGAGTAGGCATCCTACGTACATATGTGCATATATGTGTGCATATGCATGTGTATATGTTGAGATTGAGAGGGCGAGTATTTTTATGAATCCAGAGCCTAATTTTTATGTCAGGGTACCAATTAATGGCTCCCACAATTATTATTTTGGGCTAGAAACATGGACATGAGCATAATATGACTCCTCTCCAATAGATTTGCTAGGGTTGACAATAATTACTTAGTGGGGTGAAGGTCCCCTCTCCCTACCAAAATTATATACAAATCCCTTGGCTTTGGAAATCTTGAGGATCCCATGATTGTAGATAGAGTACAAGGGCCTTAGAAGAACCACTAGAGCCAGCAAAACAAATGTTCTGGGGCCCATTGCTTTGCACTGCTGGGAAAGGGCCCCAAAGAGATTCATCCATCTAAATGAGCAACTGTAATGGCTGTGAGGAATACAAAGGGTCATAATGATAATATTTACTTTGAAGCTGCTCAGGATTCCAGGCTCAACTGGGTTCTGTCGGACTTGGAAAAAACATATACAAGAGAAGCAGAATTCCAGCTTGCTACAGGAGGAGGGAAAGGGCAGCTAGCATTCTACCTAAGTCAGGGGCCAATTGTTTCATTCCTGTGTCTCTGGAAAGACAGTTGCTCACCTAACAGACTGGCTGCAGTGGTCAACTTTTTTTTTTTTTTCTTTTTGCAGTGCTGAGGATTAAACCTAGTGAGCTATATCTCTAGCCCAGCAATGATCAACTTCTTTTTTTAAATTTTTGTACTGAGAATTGAACCACTGAGCCACATCTCCAACCCTTTTTAATATTTTATTTAGAGTCAGGGCCTCTCTGAGTTGCTTGAGTTGCTAAGTCACTGAGATTGGCTTTGAATTTGCCATTCACCTGCCTCAGCCTCCCAAGTCGCTGGAATTACAGGTGTGTGCCACTGTGCCTGGCAATGATCAATTTCTAACAGGCTATTGCAGGGGAAAACATGATGTGGTTTATAGCATCTGTTGATGTTCTTGGTGTTATTACTCCCACCATACCTGATTTTAAGCTACCAACACGACATCACTGCATGTGAGTTTGGGAAAAGATGCAGAAAGCCAGAAGAGCTGGCTTTAACACACCACAGTCTGCCAGGACTCTACAAGATCAGGAAGGAGAAAAGGGCAAGGTCATAAAGCCAGGCATGGCCTTGTCCCTGTCCATAGGCTCCTCTGGCCAACTGGAGTTCCTGAAGCATTTCCTTTTGGACACCTCCCTATTGAGCCCAGAGACATTTCTCTTGGTTTAGTCCAACATTCAGAGCTGGAAGCAACTGCAGCTCCATTACAGCAGGGATCGAGGCTGTCTTGTTCATCGATGTATAACTGTGCCTGGCTCCTATTAGAGGCTTTTAAAATACTTGTCAAATGACTAAATGAACAAACATATTATGCCTATGGGCCTCACTAGAATATATTGGTTAAAAGCATAGGCTCCAGCGTCAGTCTGCCTAGATGCAAATTCTGGCTCTGCTACTTATTAGTTTGTGACCTTGGACTGTTAATTCCTCTGCATTGTATAGGAAAATAAGATGTGGAGGGGTGGCTGAGAACCTGTAGCTGGTGAGTGGCTTGGCTAATCCATCTGTTAAATGAGGATAAATTGTAGTAGCTTGGGGCTGGAGGTGTAGCTCAATGGTAGAGCACTTGCCTAGCATGCAAGAAGTCCTGAGTTTGATCTCCAGCACTGAAAAAAAAAAAAAAGAAAGAAAAAAATATATAATCTACCTTAAAGACTTGTTGGGAGGAATAAATAAGAAAATATATGGAAGCTGGGGACATAGCTTAGTGGCAGAGCTCTTGCCTGGCATGTGCAAGACTTAGGATTCTATCCTGAGCAATGCAAAAAAGAAAAGAAAATATATGTATTTATTTACAGCAGTGCTTGGCACAGAGTAAGTGCACCATAAACAATAGCTATTATTGTCACTCCAAACTTCTCCTTTTATAGGAAAAGACACTGGGACTCAGAGAGAGGAAAGGGCAGAGCCAGCTCAGGTCACGTGGTAATTTAGTGATAACCTGGCTGGGACCTTTCATTTCATAACATGCAGGACTTAATTGCACAAGGTGCCAGAGGGTGCAGATATTGACAGCAACTGAGGAAAGGGGCTAAACTTTTCTTTTTTTTTTTTTTTTTTTTTTTTTTT